GATGAGTGCCTTTCTGTTACCGATGAGGCATCTGTTAATGGAACATTGGAATCAAGCATAATTGGCTTAAACTGCCGTCTTTAAAGTGTATAATATCGAAGTTATAGCCTTGAGCGCTGAAGTGCTCATGAAACACTTATGCGAGCTATTAAACTCGAGGAGCTATTGAATCTGCCAGCGACGAACTATTCATAGGTCTTAAAATAAATTGAACGAAAAGAACAAATTGAATTCAAAATTATAACAATTTGTGAAGAAACAAGGATAATAGTATATTTATTTACACATTAAAATATATTTCAAATAACTAAATTTATAACTAAATAACTAAACTTATTATTTTCGGTTTTTATAACACAATCAAGAATGCATAGGAAACCTCATAATTTTTGCTCAAAATAAACAAGGATTCATATGAATAAAAGTAAAGCAGATAATTATTCCGAAATACTTGTTCCATGTTCTTTAAAATAATACTTATGCATTGGTCCACCAACATTTTTCCGAGGCAGCAATTAAAATTAAAAATTTTAAAAATTTGAAATTCAATAATTGTTTTAATGATCTAAATGCAAATAAGTAACTAAATTTACGGAGTTATATATGCTTTGTGATATTTATATTACTTATGCCTAATGGCTTATTAGCGTATAAATTTATCATGTGAAAAATCAAAAAATGCAGCAAATACCATATCTACTTGTTCAGATAGATTCTTTACTAAATGTAAAGTTTAAGGATATTTAGAATGATATAAATGAAGTTACAATATCTGAGTCCTGCTTATTGACGTATGCATTAGTTTTTAAAAATCCTGTTTATTTTAGACTCATCTTTATGCATACATTCAAAATATATAAATTATAATTTTTATAAATTATTTTAATATAACTTAACTATATGCCTTGTGATAAAAAAATAACTTTAATTTTTAGTTTTTGAATTCCCGCGGTTATCCAATCAGTAAATTTTTTTTATTTTCACGCTGGCAACACTATTATACACATTCTGTCAAAGCTTAACGCATCTCGTACGATTAGTTTTTGTTGGGCGTCTATACAAAGAAGTCGAACAATTGTGTGGCGATTTTTACCTTATGGCCTCTATGGTCTCAAAACGCGTTTCTCGTAATGGCAATTTGAGTCGGGGGAAGAGGAAAAATTCACACAGGGCCATATCTGGAGAGTACGGTGCTTGCTTGATGATATTGGTGGAGTTTTTGACCAAAAACTGCGGTTTTTTTTAAATAAAGTTCAGCAGCTGAAAAGCGACGCGTTTCAAACCCAAAACATCAGTTAAAATGTGTTCGGCCGATCCATATAAGATGCTCAACAACACTGCAATCTCTCTAATCGGTTCACAATGATTTTCCAACACGATCTTTTTCGCCGATTCAATGTTTTATTCAGTAACAGAAGTTGTTGGGCGGCCAGGGATCTCATCATGGTCCAAGCTTCTACGATCGTCTTTGAACCTTTTAAACCATTCGTATACTCGCGGTTGCAAAATACACAAATCACCAAAGGCTTTTTTTAACAGTTTCGGCACACTTGAATCCATTTGCAACACAAAATTTGATGCACGCACGTTGTTCTAATTTTTGATCCATTATAAAATTCGCCACATGAAAATTTTTCGACTTTTTGTATAAACGCCAAACGAAAACTAATCGTACGGTATGCGTTAAACTTTGACAGAATGTGCATAATAGTGTTGCCAGCGTGAAAATAAAAAAATTTGCCAATTGGATAAGCGCGGGAATACAAAAAAAGGCCTCTAGTTCTTTTTGATCAGGAGGTATATTCCTACTCTAGTTAGCGAACTAAATCATTTTAATGAAATCTGTCAAACTCGAATCCCACGAGCAGAATGTGGTGGCTGTAAAAATTTCACTGATCAAATTTTATGAAGCTGCGGATGCTATTGCAATTGTTTATTGAGGTTGTAATCTGCGCATATCATAAGTCTAATCATTATGTCAGAGTAATAAAAAATATATAATCCCTATATAACCACGGCTTTCGTGACCTCAGTCACAAAGTGTATCAGTGACCTCACCCCCGCTAATTAGCCATAACCCCATCCCCTCCAATATCTCTCATCCTATTTAGTTCATGCCCTTGGTTTCTGACTTAGATAAACCTAGGTAAACCTTAGATAAACCTTTTTGACTTCACTAGGTATTAAGTCAATTTACTCTCTTTTCTCTCACATGATTACTAGAATGAAGTTTTCACATTTCAGTGGAAATCTTTTCCGTTCGTTCTTAAGAGGTGGTTTTAGTGAGTTCAAGTCTCACACTGTGGCTTTCGATACTTTCCACCTACTGCAAAAAAAACAAAAAAAAAATTATAATAATAATTATTTTGCTGTATTTAGTTTATAAAACAAATATAATAATTATTTTTTCGTTCTAAAATGGCAAATAACAATTATTTTTATTTTTGTGAAATATAATATAAAGCAAATTTAATTCTATTTTGAATTTTATTCTTAAAGATGAATAAATACAAAGCTTTTATTGTTAAAATAATAACTACATTATTAAATAAGAATTTACCGCAATTTTTATTGCTGATTTTTTCTTAAAATTTTGGAAACAACTATTATTTTCGGCTTTGGTTAAAGTTCTGATTTAAGGCATATTTTGTAATAAATTATAATAAGCAAGATGTGTAATAAATTATTTATATATATAGTATATCATAATGGCCTTTTTTGTGGACTAAGAGATAGCACGCTATTGATAGTATGAACCTATCAAAAGAAAAACTTAGAATCATCACAGGAATCCTAACAGGGCACTGTAGACTAAAACACCACCTTACAAAACTGGGTATAGTTACGGATGCAAACTGTAGATTTTGTGAAGAGAATGAGGAGTCGGCCACACATGTGCTGTTAGAATGCCCTGCGCTAATGCACATATGAAACAGGCTCCTAAGAATGCATATTCTTACGGAAGAGGCAATAAAACTCTGTAAAGTAGGTTCTATACTACTTTTTATTGACGCAAAAGGGCTTAAAGACCTACTCTAAGCCCAGAAGGGGGTACAATAGAACCGACGGTCGCAGTGCTACATCCCCTAAAAATAATAATATGATAATGGCAGCACACTTATGTACATACTGCGATTTTGTTGTTTTATATTGTATACTGTATTTTAATAGTGTTTCAATTTAATATTAGCAGCTTTTTTATCAATTATTTAAAGACTGAAAATTTAATAGATTTATTTTTTATATCCAATCACTATACGGAATCTTCTGAATGATTATTCCTAAAAGGATTAATTCATTGAATTATTTGAGTTTATGTATGTGTGTTATTAATTATATACAATATAGGATAGGTTAGGTTTAGACGGCGCGTGCTGACAATTGTCAGCAAATTCACTCGGAGGCATATATTGCCCATTGTGATTTGCTCAAAAATTTTGCCGGGAGAGAAGAGTTACTAACCTTTGTTATCCTTATATCTGAATATATATCCTATATTATGTATTTGTTATCCTAATATATAAGATAGATTTATAGAACGAATTATATATTTAAAAAAAAACCGATTAACCAATGAATTGATTTTATTTAATTCTAAAGTACCATAAAATAAGCGCTTAAGTTTGTATTAACTGAAATGTTGCTCTCGTTATTCCGTTTCATAAAAAAAACCTGAAAGATATTTTTGTTTTTGTAGAAAGGAAAAAATATTGTGAAGCATATTTTTACATACTAAAAAGAGATTTTTAATCGCTCATAAAAATGTTACCTCATCCCCTGATGTGTTTACAACTGCATTTTTAGTGCTTCTAGACTCAAAACACAACGACGCCGGAGGTGTTGTTTTCATATCGCTTGTTCATATTTTTTACAAGATTATTGCCAGGGCAAGAGCTCAAATATTTAAACCAAAACAGTAAAAATTTTTTGCATATAACGGTATTTTTTAACTGCTCTATACAACTTCCGGCGGAAGTGAGCAAATGTTTGGTCAGTAGAGCAGCACAACATCATGCATTCATACTCACACAATTTTTGCGAACTCTTACCAATTAAGCAAATCTGAACCACTGTTTGCAACCACAAATTCATTTCAAGTATTTCAGGCTGTCTCAGCGCTCGGCCCAACATTCATCACAACCGCAAAATGGCGGCTCAGGCCAAGATGGAGCTCGTGCTAACACAATTAAAAAGGCACTTCGAAACGGGCACAGTTGCAAGCAACATTTTTGCTTGCTGTTGCCGCAACTGTTGTTCGCCGGTCGCTGCTGCTGTTATTAATGGTTTTATTGCCCCGCATTATTTATTATTTATTTTTTAGCATGAATTATATCAGCAGTTTCAACAGGATTTTAGCGCCGTTGCACTGTAGGAGTGGACGCAATAAGTAGCTGGCTTGCAACATTAATTTACTTCAGAATTTAATTACAGGTTGCAGCACGAATGTCTTTAGATGTTTTCTGCAGCGATGCCTTCTGAAAATACCGTGGACACGAACGTGTTGATACTTACGACTTTTGCCGCATTTGCATATTACGCTGTGTACAGTACTTCTGAAAAGCTCGAGCTGTGTCCTCAGTTCATTACGCGGTTGAGATGTGTACGTTAACCTTATTTGTACATTAAATTATTTAGCAGAATCGTATTATTTTTAAATTAAAAACAAATTTATTATGTGAACTTAATTTAACGCACTCAGCGTTCGCAGCTGCAGTACTGTGCACCATTTCTGTACTTTTCGTATATTGCAAAAAAATTAAAAAATAATTGCTCTGTAATTTTATTTTAGGTCACAATTTTATTTTTCTTCTCAACAAATTATTTGACTTATTGGATGTAAATGACACAAATCATGAACGAATCATTTCATTCGCTTCACATTTAAAAATTAATATTTTTGAAATATAATTTAATTATATTATATAATTATAATTCATGTATAATTGAATTATATTATATAATTATAATTTAATTATATATCAAAAATATGAATTTTTAATTAAATAGTTGACTACTAAAATATATTCTTAATTTTATTGATGATGATTTTTTATTCAACTTCTTCGCTTGGAGTGAACTCAATTTTAATGTTGGTTCTTCCATTGTTACTCAGCAAATCCAACTCCCCTTTGCTCAGCAACATGTAATTGATGTGGTGACGTAGAAAGTGACAAGGTTTTTGTGCCTCATAAATTGGCCTCACCTTTAAAATAGCACTCTTTGAATTCAGCATATTTTCACTGAACAGTGTTAAACACACATTGAACGGCTTGTTAATTTTGGTACCTACCAACCAAATTACTGTCAATAGCAACGACGGATCTTGAACTTTATCTGCTTTGCATTTCACTTTGAGTGGCTTTGATAAAAGCAAAGCAGCCCATGTTGTCAAACTGGCCATTATCATGATTGGAGCATGGTTTTTGTATTTGGCGTATTTTTGATGAAGAAATGTGTTAGCATTGCAAAATGGAAGATCAGGTGGAATGATGATGCTCTTTTTAACAGCAGACACGTATAACACACACCCAATGCAAACAGCTTTAGTCGGCTGTAAATCAGTGTCTTTGAAGTGCATTTTAGCCGTCTGATTGTTGTGAATTTCATTTATTCCATATCTTCTGATAACGTTATCTGTTGTATGCTTGTAGAATATGTGACTCAAGAGTTCATCTGGGTCAAAAGCTTCGTTACAAGCGTCAACAGGACAGCGAACCGGATAGTGCTTTACGCCTAAGTAATGAATTTTTCTTTTGAAAGCTTCCAGTGCGAGATCTTTTCTCTTATCTTCTTGATGCGAATTTTTTGGATCATAATTGTTGTCAGGACCACAAAACCAATGTTCTGGAAAACAACTTGAGTACTAAAAACAAATTTGTATCAAAAAAAATAAAATAGTATTCACAACCATTAAATAAATGATCAAAGATTAAATATTAAAAAGATTCATTTGTCCACTAAACAATAATCATTTATAATCACAATAGTCGAATCTAATTTATGATAAAACAATTCTACGTTAGTATAAATTTTTTAAAAAACAGTGGAAGAGGAAAACAAAAAAGTACCTTTGCGGAGTGGCTAAAGCCGTATGTAATATTCGATTCTTACCTAACGGAAAATCTTGTCATTATGTTTTAGTAACATAAATCACTATAAGGAATGCCGAAAGAGTGTTATATCTAAAGATATGGGAAAGTAGTACTCCTAAAATGCTTATACACGGATGAGAGAGTGATATTATCTTCAAAAGAGTTCAGTCTTTTACGAGTTAGTGCATCTGGGCACTTTTACCCATTGATAGCTGGGGGTTTCTGCAGAGTCGCACCCTTCGCACTTACTAATTTATCTATTTCTCGTGACTATTCGATGATCGAACTAAAGTCTGCGTACCACCCCATGCGGCTAGAGATTATTCTGAGATTAAATAGTGCTATCTAGGGCAACCTGTCGACTTTCGCAAATAGTTTCGGGGCTCTGTTCCTTATGTATTTTTTGACCGAGTCTATTCTAAGGTCTCTTAGAATGTCATTTGTGCGGATGAAGAGTCTGAGAATCTGGCTTTGAGCAGCTTGCAACTTCTGGATAGTAGAGTTGACTACTCAAGGAGTCTGTCAGGAATATAATATTTGGAAAATTTGAAATGCAATAAGGAACTCTCTCCTAATGCTTATGCAAAATAAGCTTAGGGATCCTTAAGAGGTACTAAAAATAAATTTTTTAGATGGTTTCGCTAAATATTTTGTTGTGCATTTATAGTTGGTCTAAATAGCGCTTACAGTCGTCATAAAGGAATATGTAATAAAAATTTGAAGATCTTATTTTATCTTTTATTTGAATCACGTATCAATAAATTTATAATTCAGAAATGTTAAATCTTACCTTCACATTTTCTGTTTCTTTGCGATCTCTGTAAAATTTTGAAATAATCTTCACCTCAGAATTGGAATCGCTCTGGGAAAGTAGAATGTTGTTAAGAATAAAGTGATTATTGTGAACTTTTATTTTTACCGTTTGAGGTGTTTCATCATCAGAATAAATAATTTTTCTTGGTTTTGTTGAAATGACCTTCATAATAAAATAAATTTAATGATTATTCTAAATGCTACAAATTCGAAGGCTCGAAATATATGTAATAATTTATAGAGATAAATTCTACGTAAAATCAAAACTTTGTGAAATAGCAGTTCTGACTAATAAAAAAAAGTTTGAATTAACACCTTTCAAAATTAAGTTGGTAAATTGATCAAGAAATTGTAAGGTAAATTAAAGTCAATACTTTTTATATAATGAAATATGAAAATAACAAATTTTGGATCTCATATTTGGATTTTATATAAAAACTAGATAACCCGACAAACGTTGTTTTGCCTTATAAATTATTTCTAGTTTCTAGATAAATTCTAGTGTAGACAAAAAGTAAGTCTGTGGTATATGCATGAAATAGGCATGGAGCGCTATGAACGAAAAGGAAAATAAAAATAACAAACGCCAAACAATATTATTTTTAAGCTATTAGTTTATATAGTTTATTTATTAAATTATTAATTTAAAATCAATAAATTTGTATGATATCAAGTTCCCTGGCAACAACTGTTGTATCTTCAAATTTAAATTGTCTTGGATTGACTGTAAATAATAATAATGATAATGGGCCAGTAACATTAACCAACAACAGTCGAAGATAAAAGCACTCAGTATGTCTTGGATTAACTGTAAATAAGCGTTCGATTCAACTGGTGAAGCTTGCTTGCGGGGCATCCATTTTTTTGTTTGAGCCCATGTGAAATAGCGTGGTACTTGTGAATAGAGTAATGTTCTTGCAAACGCACCAAAATCATCCGTACTATTACACAACTCAAAAAATGCAGTGAGTGTAGATTTAGGTGGATTTGTACCACGATTAATCACTGTCTCGTTCGTGAAAAATACACGCTGACCGTTTTCAAGATGGACGGCTAACTGAACAGCTGCTGTATCCCGTTCATGAATTAGAAAACCGAAGATACGCCAAGCAGCTTCATTGGAGCTGGTGTACCGACTAATTTGGTAGAGCGTAATTTCACCGTTTTTGTTCATTGGAGGAGCATTTACATTAGTATTTTCTACTCTAAACTCAGCCATACTTATATATTTGATGCTCTTCACAGAACTGCAAAACTCAACATTTATATGAGCATTGTATGTCTTGCTTAGCAGAGGCGAATACGGCACCACCCGCCATTGTCCCCCATTATCGCGATTTCTTCGACGATATATTGGATATCCGTCGGTATTTGTTATAGTATCATTAGTGAAATCTTTAGAAAAATTTTTAGTACATTTTCCATCTGCCATGCAAGGCGAAGACGAAGAAACGAAGTGGATGTAAATGCTCGATGTACTTGTTGGCGTAGTTACATAAAATATTTAGAAAAAAATTTTTCTTTTTTTAAAATATAAACAAAATTTATGTCAAAAAAATAAAAATTTTTTTGTTAAAGCAATAAGGATATTTTTGCTGGGTAGGGACTCCCTAATCACTTTAGCGGTATGAAATATAGATAGTAGCCGATTCTCAGACCTACTGAATACGCATATAAAATTTGGTAAAAATCGGTAAAGCCGTTTCGGAGGAGTACGGTAACTAACATTTTGACAATGTTAATTTTATATATAAGATTAGAGTTTTTAATGTCATGATATCTAAATACAAATATATACTTGTATTATTATCAATGCTCAAACCTCCAATCATCATTATAGATTGCTTACATAACCCAACAAGTGGGTTATCCAACCAAGCCTCCAGAATGTCGCTAAATAGCAACAAACCGATACAGTGATGATGGGCACTGAAAAAATATATATATACTTAACCCTATAAACCTTTATTAATGGCGAACTACCCCAATTTTAATACACAATATACAAGTTGATTGTTATTTTTTCAATAACAGTCGACACGTAATTTATATTCCATAAGTTTGACCATTTCGACGTATATAAAAAATTTGAACCCTACATGAAAAATTCTTAGATTCAGTGATGCACGCAGTCAGTGCTATTTTTTTTATTAAATTTCTAAAATTATTTTTTGAGTTACAATAACGTACTGACCACCATTCTATACTCCATAGCTCTATATTATTTATATGAGTTATACAATAAAACTTTATTTTCGTGACTTCACTTACTATTTTGATCCATAAGCTAAAAAACTAATTGAACTTTAATTTTGTTTGTGTTCCATTGATTTCTTACTTTCTACGTCAACCTTTTGTCAGGATGAATACCCAGATAATTAGTTTTGTTTGCTTGTAGAATTTAATTTAAAAGCATTATAAGAAACTTTTCCTAATTTAATTATTATTTAAACAGATTCAATTGTTAACATTTATTATCCATTTAGCCAACCACCTCTCTATAAGGCTAAATAAGCCACCAAAATATAGTAGCTACTGGATGTTGTCAGGGAGATATAATTTCCTTCTTCGTCAGTGCCACATCTTGTCAAATGCTTGAGCAACATCTGAGAAAATACTAGTTCAAAATTTTTGCATACGCATTTTTCTGATATTTGCATTATGAGACTTGTACTCGAAAATTGAAATGGTGGCATATCTATAGGAGAAAGAAAAATTAATAACTGACGTTATGCGAACGACACACTCATTTAGGGATCCAATGAAAATGAGCTCATCCTACTGATAGAGAAATTGACATCCATAAGTCGGCGCTATAGATTAGGATTCAACACTTCCAAAATAAAAGTTATGATAGTTGACAGACAAAATAACAACCATTTAATTACTTATGATCCCTCATAACTAACACTAGCGGCAGCTTAAAGAAATTAAACGTCGTATAACAGTGACAAGATCTGCAACAACAAAACTTTTAAAAGTATGAAATGATAAAACAAAATCTACAAAATGATTTTCAACTCATATCTAACCTGCTGTAGGGGCTATGTAGCAAGGCGATCAGGATCTCTGGAACAACTGGTTGAAGAGGGAAAAGTAAGCGGAAGCAGACGACAAGGATAGCCTTTGACACGTTCAATGGATCAATTACAATCTCTTCTTCGAAAAACGATAAGTGAAACGATACACTGCGCAAAATCGAACAACATGGCGCACCGAAATAAAAAGACCGAAGAATTGATAAAATAATGTAATGTCATAATGTAATGTCACGTCACGGATATAAGGAAATAATTGTTAAAGAAATAAATGTTCTCTAAATTTTAAGCCCTACAGTAAGATTAAGAAATAATCTATTTTATATATGACCATTTTGGAAAGAAACGATTTGACTTATAGAGACTTCGAGTAAAAGAATTGTATGTAAGAATTGTATGTAAACCAGATTGCGCTCTATTTAGTTTGAGTTATAGAAAATTTGAGTTATAGAAGTTCCGAGTTATAGAAGTTTGATTGTATATCAAAAATGACAAGATTCTAAAATTTTTTGTTTCATTTTTCCATAAAAAAATGTTATTTTAAAATTAATTAATCAGAAATTTTGATGATAAAAGCTTTACAAATTTTTAAGAATCTTCTATATTATACCTAAACGGTTTGTTTATTGCAATTTTTTTATAAGTGTATCAAATATTGATAAAAAGTACAGACCCCAACATTTTGTAACTTAAAATGCCCCACAAAATTATAATTTCTTACCTTATCCATTATTTTATTTGTAACCAAATATACTTGCTTCTCATGATCAGTATCTTCAATACTTTTGGACATATCTGATTCATTCATACTTCACACTCTTTGCTGTATAAATTCTTTCAAGCCAAAAAAAATATATAATTCCAAAATAAAAAAAATGCTTTCAGAGAATATTTAATCTCCAAATACGAAGCAATTACATTTGTTTATAAAAAATCAACTATGAAGTTAAAAAGAAAACAATAAAAAATGTCATTAACAAAAAATACGGGTAAATCGATTTAAAAAAAACTTTCAGGATAAAAACGAAGATTGCTATAATAAATATATTATATAGATTTTGGTTTCAAGAGCAAGAGTGGCTATGTACATAGGAAGTAAACAAATTGAACGACTATATGCCGCGCTCACCAGTCCCGTCAAGGATCCGTCACCAAGTGTACATGAAGAGATTCGGACTTTGCTCCAGGACGAATAAATATGTCTGGGACTTCAATATAGAAAAATATACTAAGCCAGGAGTTCCTATCCCCGTTCAAGATTTCTTTTTCTAGTTTTCCGGCCATATGGATATTTTCGGCAATTGCAAAGCAGACACGCTGAGGAACGAAGCAGGGTGCTTCAGGAAACCACTCGGAACACCTAAACATCTGTATGTAAGTTGATTACGTTCTACTAGGAAGAAAGCCAATATTCTTATTGAGATATTTTGTAGAGATATCAGTGTTGTGGTAGTTTTGCTTACGGGTCACAGCTAATTACGGAAGCAAGCTAAAAGATTACATCTCCCCCTCCCATATTGAGGATGAAAACTGTCTCACATTTGCTTTTATTTGCACAACATATGTGCGTCGCAATTTTGTAATTTAAGGGCCTCCATTTTTGAAAATCTTGGCCAGCTGAAAGACTTCCACAAAATATCATTTTAAAATAACATTTCTCATTATCATGTATTAATATTTATAATCCTATTTTACAATAATAAACTCTCAGTTGTAAACGGTAGAAACTTTCTTCACAGTAACTGGCTTTTTCTGGGGACGCTCCACTTCCAAAACGCTTAGAGTATATTTTTGGCCAAATTAATTTATTATCAACTGCACCATCCTTAGCTAAACATCAGTTGATCCCATACTAAAATACTCCATTACATTCTCTAATATTCAACGGGAACTCAAAGATTTAGAGCAAAGGACACTGGGCTTAATCCCAACATTTCTTTTAATTTAACCACTTCCTCCTAATGCACTTATTCTGTATCTGTTTTTGCATTTGTTTTGTTATTTTATCTATAGTACTTGACATCATCAATGAATTGAATCATTATTAGCAATGTACTTGAAGATGAGTGAGTAAATTCCATTTTAATTCTAATAATCAGCAAATACCTCAAATCGATTGACACACTTTTGTTCAAATACCTTTCAATTACTTTAATTTATTTGTTCCAATTTGTGAATGAAAATTATCAAGTGGCGTTGAATATTTGTGGGCTTATCAATAATTCAGTAAAGGTTTCCAAGTTAAATAAACTCGTGCACTCATCTTACTAATTGCAATCGTTGAATCCTTTTAATCACAAATCGACGATTTTTTGTTAAGTCAATAGCAAGTTTGGGAGTTTAATTGCCACAGATCTGCGTCGACCAACTTAAACTGAACCACAATTATTTCTACTTTTTGACCCATATTTATTTTCCATTTCAGAAAGATTTCTCATTTCAATACGGTTTTTTTTTCAGAAATTCCTTTTTTCCATTTTTGCCTCCATTTTATTTAATATTCAAATCGTGGTTCAAAACTTTTGGAAAGTTAATTTACATTGTAATTTCCAATTGGGCTCGTTCATAAAACCCAGGAAATGTTTCGAAATAATTATCCAACTTTTTACAAGTTAATTTATCAAAAAAAAAGTAAGAATACCTACATTTATTTCGACAAATTACCATGATTCAATAAAAGCATATTTGAATTACATTTGGAAAAGGGCAATATATATTCTATGAAGAAATCATGTGCATTTCATAATTGGAATAATTTTAGTAATAAATAAATTTTTATATCTGTGAGTATTGTATCGATCCACTGAATTCCATACGATGTTAATGCATTTTATTGACATGAAGGCTAAAATAACTGCTTTTTGCTTTACTAGGACATATCAATGTGTTAACAATTTTAAAGCCAAAGTATAAATATAAGTTTGAAATCATATTTTAATTATCCTCTAAAGGTCTGTGTCGTCGTTGATAGCATCCAACAGTCTCTACTAGTCAACCCTATCACTGGCTGATCTATTCAACTTGGTGCGAAGATAGTTATACATAACGATAGTAACAGGAATGAAGCTTAATATGGCGTAAATATAAAACTTTTTTAAATTTTAAGCTTAAGTTCCGATTAACGAATCTTCAGTTTAAGGTCGCAGTACTTTCACAATTTTAGTGTGAAATGACCAATAATGACCACATGAATCACCATTTATAGATTGCAGACAGTAAAGTATCATATTATTCGATATATCCTCAAACCAACCATCAAGCAATATCACTCACACAAAAGAGAGAACTTCTCTGTCCATTATGAGGCTATTTTGTTTTACTCTTTTAAATATGAGTAACTTTCAATCTCACTTCTGTCACAAATTTTAAAAAATTATAGCGTAGTTTTTTCGATACAACGGGGACTACTGAATGTACTTAGAATTTACGCTAAGGGAACTTAACTGTTAATGATAATCAGTAATATCAACATTAACTGGAAGGTACAGCAAGTAAACGACCCCACGCAGTGTATTGGCCCGTGATCTCATCTGGCTTGGACGGCCCTGATTTATAGCATTCTAGATTCAGTCGAGCTGATTAATGCCACTTCCATCTGCTCTCATATCTCAAAAACATTTTACAAAAGAAAGAAATTATCCCTTCAACAATGAAATCATATTCAAAACTATTAAAAACTAAACTTTAAAATGAAAGATGTATCGAAGGACCAAAGAAAAATCAAACCTCTTAGAAAATCGATTAAATGTATTTGTGTTGTTATAGAATAAATCCGAGTGATTATTGTGGACTTAATGAATGATATGTGAAGTTGATTATGCAGTCACAAACGCTCTAAAGATCTTAAGTTAGTGTATTACATCGCTTGCTTAGAATGCGATCGTATATTGATTTAACTGTGATAAAGCCAAATTGAAATTCATTTTGAGTATATGGTTCTATCCGATCACGCAAGATGAAGCAAATTATTTGTGATGCTTCTTAACGGTGTTTTAGAATCTAATCATGCTCCCATCCGTACGTTATAAGATGATTTAACTGTTTGGTGTAATTTATTTATTCAGTTGGATTCATGTGCCATGTGCCCTAGAGCTTTAAGACTGAAACGAAGTCTAAGCAGATAACTGTGTGGGAGTTAGATTCCTCAACGGCTATAATTATTTGATATATGGCGATTATTGTACCAGGGTATATCGTGCTGTAGTGTGGAATCTAGGAGGATTCCTGTCTTTATCATTTCATGAAATTGGTCGTTTCAGTACATCCTATAAATAGTCTATATAAAAATATGTAGTGTAAATAAATGTATAGATTGTTATTTTAGCACCGACTATAGATTGTTATTTTGTTTTATTATTTTATTAAAAATTACATACAACTAAAATCTATTCAATTCTATAAGCGCAGATAAAAACTCATACTTATATTTTCTGTGTCTAACTATTTTATTAGAATATTTTAGAATATTTAGAATAAATATTTTTTTATTAGTTCTTTTTCATATATACTCCCTTTTCTCTAAATCGTTCAATAAAAACTATACCTCTGCTTTTTAACATCCTTGATTAATTCTAGGAAAAAAAACTTCCTTGCATATTGTATGAAAGTAAACAGTTTTATATTGGCTTCTATAGGCATCTTAATTTATTTAATTTTTGTTGACATTGATTGTGACGAGTTCAACATTCAATTTATATAATCGCAAAAATTTTAAAATACGCATAACAGGAAACGGAAATAAATGTCATTAAACCAGAAGAATCCACAAAGTCAAAAGCGGTACTGGTTTGCGCCATGTTTGAAGTAGTTCTGTGTCTCTATGTGCACTGCAATCATCATCTCCAGCACTTCGACATGGATCGCCAGCGGCAATTACAAGCATCAACACAAAGTCAACATTATTTGTTTGGAATTGTATGTTATTGTGTTGAATTGTGGCTTCCTCTTTTTAACCTTGAGTGGATTTAAAGACATTCAGAGGCAACTTTTATTGTAGGTTATCCTAAGTCAATAGAGTATCTTCTCAAGCAGAACTTAATTGTTCGTTGGCATGTTTGAGTTTGTCTCTTTGAGTTTACGGGGAATTTTGTTTGTGATTAGTGTTGCGCACACCAATGAAGCAGGGAAGTCATAGTAGCAACAGCGTATTTTTACGGCCCAATGCTTAAAAATTCTTTACAAGTAATCCCATTTCATTGGCAACTCAAAACTTGCATCAATTCGCGAAATTCCCTAATTTGTTATAAATTTTACTATTTTTTGCGTTTAAGCTACAAGCGCATAATTAGCAGCGTGCGAGCCAAGCAACTTTAAAAAGGCAGCGAGCCTCATTAATTAAGTGTCAGCAACACTGGCGCCAACTTCGAGTCCTTCAAAATTCCTTTCACTTGCAAACATCAAAACTTTAATTGAAAAATGAAAATATTGTTTGTGGAAATTATAATTATTTCTTCAAAACCCTACAAATATTTAGTTTCACAAGTCAAATTTTAAGCTCACCAGTTCTCTCCATGAGAAGGCAGATTAGCAGCTTGAATGGAATAAAAAAGAGTCTGGCAATTATGGCAGCAGGACGCCACGATAAAAACCATGAAGAAAGATTAAAATAATTTTATTTGGTCACTTGAGAAACTTTTGCACTTTAAATCATTTGTGATTTGATAAATTTTATTACTTATTGTAATTAATCGACAAATAATAAAATAAAATTAATTTAATTTAATTGCGAAAAATTAATTTTTTATAGAGTAGCTGTTATTTTAAAGACTGTAATATGTATTTTTTACTCGTTATCTAATATACAACTCCATGCCTTTTAATATTATTATTGTTATTACTAGGAAAAAATGAGGACACGTATCTGCTATCGGTACATAAACACTCAGGTAAAAGCTATTTATAAACCACATTATATTTCTTGCTACAAGATCCTC